ACTAAAAGATACAAAAAATTAGCAGAGCATGGTGGTGCATGCCTGTAACCCCAGCTATGTGGGAGGTTGAGGCAGGAGAATCGCTTGAACTTGGGAGGTGGAGGTTGCAGTGAGCCAAGATCACACCATTGCATACCAGCCTGGGTGACAGGGCAAGACTCTGGGAAAAAGAAAAAAAAAAAACACCCAGCAGGGCAAGACAGTCATTATTTCTTGTACATATGTGAACACATTGCAGGAAGGAGTATCATATACAAATTACAAAGAATTATATATTCAACATGTTTTGTGCTCTGGAATAAATTAAATAGAACATGGAATCAAACAAAAATTAAAGATAAAAGAGGTCAAAAGGGAAACTGAAGAGGAAGGAAAACAAAGGAAGGACAAAACGCCACTGGAAATAGCTACAAACAGAATGATCAGCTGCCAGCTAGTCAGTGTCAGAGAGTGAAGACCTGAAATACCAGCAAAGAAAAAGAAGGCAAAAAGATTAAAGACATTGGAAGGAAAAGATAGGAGGACAGACAGACACACAACTGACACAAATAAAGCGAAATATAACATTTCTCTTAGGTTTGAAATATGTGACAGAAAAGTGTTAATTTAGAAAAGTAAAATGCAACAGAAAATTAAAAGTCATGAAGATGGCTAATTAATATGTGGAAGGATTCTGTGTAAATTAAAATGAAAACAAAAACAATGCATTTGGTTGGTGCAAAAGTAATTGTGGTTTTTGCCATTAATACCTCTTTGCAGATCACATGGTCAAAAATGGAAAAGATTGATGTGTAGAAAAAGGTGTAAAAAATAGAAACTTGAATATAATGTTGAATAAAACTATCATTTTCAAATTCAAATACCACTTTACTTCAGCACATTTATCTTACATATACACTCGCAACTAGGAAAGGAATAGGTACAAGTAAGGTCACTGTGTCATTTTTAGTAAATGTAAAAGCCAGAAGAAAATCTAAATTTTTGTTTGTAGAGGATTGGTTTAAAATCATGGAATGTCCTTATAACGAAAAGCGTAGGTGTTCACTGGAAAATGCAGTAGTTGCCTATGTTGAAAGGGAAAGAGCTTCAAGATTGCTCAAGTGACACAACGGATATTCAACAACCTCTGAATGTATATGTTTATAAAAAGGATGTAGTTTGTATCCACAAAAAATGTATTTAAAATCTCCAATAAACTATTGGCAGTGATTACATCTAAATGGGACTGGGCATTTGGAAGTACAAGAGAAATTTTATTTTATACCGTTAGGGAAACAGAAGCTTAGGAGAGTCTGGATGATGCCACTTTAAAATCAACTCCATCTCAAAACTAGTGAGGCACATTCCTTGCCAGTTACCACCTGTATTAGCCTGTTGTCACACTGTTAATAAAGACATACCCTAGACTGGGTAATTTATAAAAGAAAGAGGTTTAATTGACTCCCTGTTCCAAATGGATGGGGAGGCCTCAGAAAACTTACAATCATGGCCGAAGGGGAAGCAAACACGTCCTTCTTCACATGGTGGCAGCAAGAAGTGCAGTGCTAAGTCGGGGGGAGCCCCTTATAAAGCCATCAGATCTCGTGAGAACTCACTCACTATCATGAGAACAGCATGGAGGTAACCGCCCCCATGATTCGATTAACTCCCACTAGGTCCCTCCCATGACACATGGTGATTATGGGAACTACAGCTCAAGATGAGATTTGGGTGGGGACACAGCCAAACTATGTCACCACCCATGGTTATAGGATCTTGACAGCTGAGAAAACCACTTAATGCCTGCAAGGACAAATTCTTATGACAGCAAAATATCCCGATGGTCCAATATCACATAACAATATATGTTTTTAAAGATAATTATAGTCATGCTGTAGTGTGCTTATGCACTAAGGACAGCTTTCCTTAAACCAGTAAGTAATAAGTGTCGTCACACTGTCAGCCCACCCATGTGTAGACATATGTAGCTTAGTTTTTACATAGATAAGACTCCTATATAAGAAAAACTTAAAACGAAGATGAGGATTTCCTTCTCTTGTTTTCTGAGGATGCCCTACTTTGTACGTGGGTAGGTTTCAGGAAACTCTCTCTTCTCACTGCACTCTGAAACTCACTTTGAATTATTTTCTGCACAAGATCCAAGAACCATTACTTGGGGTCTGGACTGGAACCCTTTTTCCTGGCAAAGCTCCCATTCCACTTGAAATTTTAATCATATGGCCTGTATTTCTTCCTTTTTAAATGTTATAAGAATTTATATATTTTCCATGAAAAAGAATTGGATTTTTTTTCTTAGTTTTAGCTTTTTATGGAGAAAAATTATTAACTAGAAAATTATCAGAGAGACTTACACCTAGCTAAAAGTAATGGGCCATTACTTTTACTGGAAATTAAGAAATTTTTTTTTAAATATGGAACACTTCATGAATTTGCGTGTCAAATTAAGAAATTATTGGAAGTAGTGTTGAATAATTTTTGTTCACATAAAGAAACATGAATAAAATACACAGTAACTATCATTCAAATCTGAAACAAGCACTAAAATTATGTGCACAGCATTCATTTTGCTATTTTGCTGCAAACAGAATATTTTCTTCTCATAGCACCAGCAATGAAGGTCTCAGAGGAGCCTTGCAAGGAAGGGCATTGAAAGGGACCTGAGATTTTAACACCACGGGCTCACATGCTTGAAACCCAAACTTGCTTATAACCAACCAATGTCACTTCTTAGAGAACAATATTACAGGCTTTTAGTATTGTGCTATGGCTTTTCCTTAAATTATGTTTTGTTACCTGAAATCCCAATTAATGGTTTTGATTTTTTTAAATTTTGGTAGAAACAGGGTCTTGGACTCCCGGGCTCAAGCTATCCTCCCACCCCCAGTCTCCCAAAGTGCTGGGATTATGGGTATGAGCCACCACACTTGGCTAATGTTTGTTCTGGACAGTGTATGACTTGTTGGCATAATCATAAGGAGATCCTAAAAATACATACTTTAGCTGGCCCCAGAGTCCCTCTGTGTTTCTACAGGACAGTGGGAAACTGATATAAATAATTAAGAAGCAAATTAATTATGTGTAAATTATGTACCCATCCTGTCTCCTAGCACGGAAACTTAAATGCAAAGCAGAGGCAGCCAGGTGCCAATTACTTTACAATTTTATTCTTTCGTTGAATTAGAAGAGACTAAGATGTAACCAGATGTATTATCAAATGATGCAAGTTATCTACTTTTTAAAACACTTTTTAGATTTAGTCCTCCCAATTTTCCTACAATTATAACTCCCAAAAAGAATCATAACTTAAAACATACGCCTAAAAAATTTCTGGTGTGATACAGGGGAAATTCATCTACTTGCAAAAGCACAATGCAGGATTGCAATTCAGATGTTAAGTTAACCTGATGAGTAATTAGAATGCGCGCACACGTGCACAAACACACACACACACACACACACACACACACACACGTTTGCTTTGTAAATTAAAAATCTGGAGCAAGCCACAGAACATGGTCCCTTTCAGAATGGAGTGTCTTTGTTCTGCCCTGCTCCTGTCCTGATGTTGTGGCCACCTCTAAGTGGTCTCTACTGTGCTGGACCTGGCTGCCTGTGACTAACAATGGGTGTGGCTCTCCCTGTCTGAAATCTAATGAGCATGCTAGTCACCTGCATGCCTGCTCTTATATAAAAGTATCAGTTCACCTCCTTGTTTTACATAAACTAGATTCTCTCAGAGAAATGCCAAAATGTTCAGTTGGCACATCAACGCTGATTTAAAATAGCTACCGTTTCCAACTTGCAGATGCTGGTGAGTACCAACGGTAATAACACTGAATTTGTCATTCAGCCACAAGGGATTGATGCAGCCAAGTGAGGCTACACTCTGCCCATGAGAACCTGCTCAGGTTTTCTAGATCTTATGATGTTCACTGCTTGAAGGACTCCACAACTATTAACTCATCTAACCCTCTCAGTAACACTTAATGCTGAGTTCTATTACTCCGATCACTTAAACATGAAGGAAGCTAGATGCTGAGTAACTTGTCCAGGGTCACACAGCTAGTGAATGGCACAGCTGGGATTTGAACACAAACACTGTGGCTTCAGAATCCAGGTTCGCCCTGCCTTTGCTACACTGCTCCTGTGCTCAAGATGAGTTTCCAAACTCCACATTATTGACATTTAGGGCCAAGGAATTACTTGTTGTTGGAGGCTATTCTGTACATTGTAGTGGCCCCGGCCTCTACCCACTAGGTCCCTGAAGCAACCCTCCCTCCCCTGAGCTGTGAAAACCAAAAATGTCTTCGGAGATTGCCAAATATCTCTTTGGGGACAAAAATCATCTCTTATTGGGAAACCATTCTCTATGTCCATCATTGAAACAGAATAACTAAAAAGAATAAATAATAGAAAAACATGAGCTTACTAAAAATAACCGTCGTATGTCCGTCTGTACATTTTGAGATAGGATTATTAGAAATATCTCAAAATAGTCCTTCTTTTGGCTTTTACGTTGCCTCTCCTTCCTAGCTTTTTTTCTAATTTTTTTGCTTTGTTTTGTCTGAAGCAGCTAGGAAGTGCAGAGCTCTATTTTCACCCGAAGCCACAAGTATTTGAGGAATCATCGTGTGCTCAATATCATTAGATGCGGCGGATGCACAGAAATATAGGCAGTTACACAGATTTCAGCCTGGTGGAAGAAATGCATGAATAAATTAGAATCCATAAAGCAGCCAGAAAGCATATAAACGTGACTTCCTGCGGCCTGTGGGAGTGAAGCACAACCACCAGTGGGGGCGCTAGTGAGCAGGGCCGGCCCTGCTGAGAAGGTCGCGAGCAGAGTCCCGACGTGACGTGCCAAGCTCGCCATGTTGAGAAGGGAACACGGCGAAGGCCCCACTCAGCTGGGATCGCAGGTGTGAACTGGAAGCAGCATGACCCCCCGTTGGAAGCAGGCAGCAGTGAGCCGTCCAATGCTCCGGAGCAAGGACACGAAGCTGCTCGCATCTGCAGCACATGCACTAGAACTGGAGCGGTCCAGGAAGATTAGCAGGGCCCCTGCGCAAGGATGGCATGCCACTTCCTGAAGCGTTCCAAATAAATAAATGAATGAATAGGAACAGGAGGGGTGCGGGGTGTTTCAGGAATACTAACGAGCAGCGGGGAACCAGGGCCATGCGGGGGCTCGTGGGCAGTTAAGGAAGTTGGTACTAATCTATTTCATGGTGAGGAAGACAGAGATGGGGGTGTTGGCAGTGAAATGGATAGTAAGGGGTGATTAACGGAAAATGTTTGAAATGGAAGAATTGACAGGGATCCGTGATTCATTAGACACCGAAAGTAAGAACAAATGTAGTAGGCTGCTTCTCAGTGAGCTCCCAGTAACCCCTTTTTCCTGGGAGTCACGCTCCTGTGGGAGCTCCTCCCCCAGCGTGGGCTAGACCTAGTGCCTCACTTCTAATGAACAGAATATGGCAGAGTCAAGGGTCTCTCTTGAAGGCAGATTACAAAAGAATGTGGCTTTCATCTTGGGTGTGAGTAGCCTCCAGAGAGGCCCATATGACAATGAAATGATGTCCCTGGACCAGCCAGAGAGGACTAGAGAACTGTCACCAGTCCCATGAGTGAGCTTGGACGTGCATGTGGCCCCCCATGCTCAGCTGCGAGACGACCGCAGCCCTGGCCATCTCGTAGAGTGCAGCCTCGTAGAGAACCTGGGCCAGAGGACGCTGCTAAGCCACCTGAACTCCTGAGCCACGGGACTGTGAACGGATCACACCGTGCTGTTTGAAACCACTAAATCTAGGTAGCATTCGTTACACAGCAGTGGAGAAAAAGCACGACAAGCTTACAAGATAAAAATAACTTTTATCTCAAATATAGGACAGCAATTTATTCAGTTTACATATTTAGAGATAGGGTTTTTCTAAAAATTAACCAATGAAAAAGATTGAAGAAGATTGAGAAAGATCAGAGTCTGCCTGTCGACCCCGACAGCACAGGAGCCAGCAGTGGAAGGGGGATGTTTATTCTCATGGTTAGATCCAGAGACCCACCCGGGGAATTGGTGCTCCCCATGCTGAAATTTCAGGCTTGGCTGCACTACAGCTCAGGAGAGAGAGGCTTGCCCCAGAAAGACGTAGAGGTTCTGCCAGACTTAACGTTCTCTGGTCGTTTGGAGCTCCTCATACCGGTAGACCATTAGGCAACAGAATGACTTAGGATGCATGTGGGGTCTTACTGACTCTGATTGTCATGTAGGAAAAAAGCCACTGGTACAAAATTGGGCTGGAAGGAGCATATCTGGAAGTTAGGACATTCGCCAGAGAACCCGTTATTGCTGCATGTTTATTAATAACCGTAAATGTGCAACTGCAGCAATCTTAGTCTCACAAGGACCTGGTAATCAGGGGCGAATATTGTTTTTTTCTGCCAAGTAGGCAAACCTAAATCAGCACCAAATCTGCCCAAAGGCGATGGGATTTACGATGAGTGGTGAAGGATGGAAATGATGAGTATCACTTTTGGCTTCAAGACCAATCTTTTTCATTGGTTACGTTTTAGAAAAACTCTTCAAGACCAATCTTTTCATTCTTTTTCAGTTAAAATTAATTTAAACCCAGATGTTTAAACTAATATAGTACTTTCTTCCTTTTTTTTAAAATGCTGTATAAAAGAGAATGTCTACAAGCCAAGAAAATAGGAGAAATCAACTCTGCTGACACCTTAATTTCTAGCCTCCAGAATCGTGAGAAATTTGTCTATTGTATAAGCCAGGCAATCTGTACACTTGTGGCTGCCCTAGCAAACTAATGCAACCCCAAATGCAGGACCACTGTTTGTATCTGAAAGTCTGTGAAACCAGTGAAAAGGTGAAGCAGAATGAAGGGCTTGTAGGTGTTTGATGGTGATTCTTTAAGTCATTCCTTTCATTGGAAGGTATAAAATACTACAATAAATGGGAGAGAAAGTTACAGCACATAGCAACAGTTATAACTGAAGAATACTAAAAGACTATAAAAATTGCTTAGAATAAGCAACTATCAATTCTAAGAGGTTCATCTTAGTTTGGTTTTCCATGCAGGAGTTTTATTCACATGAATAGCTGTGTTTACTTTTGATCCCTGATTGAAGTTGCTGTCAGTACTGTATTTGTGGGTGGCTTTTTGTACTCAGACGAAGTATTCAGCCCCTGGGAAGATGGCTTATGAATGACCTGCAGAGAAGAGCCTTCTCAAAGATCCCTAGTTTGCCTATAAGTTGAATGAGACTAGTTTGTGGTGTGAATGTGAAGTATTTTCTGATAACGCTGACTTCTAGAGAGGGCAAATAAAGTCTGTTAAATTTAAAGGAATTCCTATTAAGCTGGCCTTATGGGCACTGGTAAGCACATATAAATATAAATCTAGCAAGGAAACTTAAGAACTCTTTAAATGTTAGAAATAATAAAATTGAGCTTTTGTTTTTTAAAAGATTATTCTGGTCCTTTAAGAAAAAACCCTTCTCACAGAAACTGACAACCAAAGTTGTGATTATTTTTGAGATTAAAAGAAAAAGGCAGCCAGAAAATATACGAAAATACAATAATGAATAATAAACTAATAAATCAGAAACATTTCCACGATTGATAAATAATTGGATAGTGTCATGAAATCTACATTCATTTAATACTAATAATCCTGGTATTTGGTTGGGATGGAACACATCAATTTTTTCATTAAAATTATTGAAAAGATTCTTTTGTAAAAAACAATTTAATAGCTTTTTAACAGCAGGGTTTCAGAAGCAATTTACAAGTCATTAAGCCAGAGATATAATATACATCCACACACTCATTACCCCCTTACAAAATAAGCAACTCAAGGCAAATTTTGTTTCCTCTCTCAACCCACCCGCCTCACCTTTCCACCCTAATTATTCTGAAGTATATCCCAGACGCTGCATCATTTGTGCACAAATACTTCATTATGTATCTCCAAAGGACAGTGCATTTTGGTTTTAACAAAAACACACCATTATCACATTCTTTAAAAAAAAAATCTAATACCTTAGTATTGTCAATATTTAGCAGTACTTTCATTTTCCTCTGTACTATATGATTTTTAAAAGCATAGCTTGTCTTAAACAAATTAATTCATTACAAAGTAATTGACAAATATCTTAATCTTTGGTTCCCCCCTATATCTTTTTTCTTTCAAATATGTGCGAGAGTGGTTTCTTTGTACTAAAGATTTTGGTAGAGTTTGGATTTTGCCGATTGCCTCCTGTGATGTTGTGATGCTTTCTTGATCCCTGCATTTCCTGAAAATTTCTAGTTAAATCAGCTTCAGGCTTGAGTTTTAGGAAGGGAAGACTACTTCCTAGATGGTGGTGTGTATTTGCATCTAGTTGTCTCTTTTGCTGATGTTAGCAGCTGCACTGCATTCTAATTATGTGTGTTCTATCCCCTTCCTGATACATGGTAAGCACTTGGGACAACAAATGCTGTGTTCATCACTTTCTGCCCATTACCTAGTACTGTTTCTGGAAAACTGTTGGATCCAATATTATCTAAATTTTTAGTGAATATAGGAGTTCATGGTTCAGTCTTTTCTACTAACTCTGAGATCATCAAGACACTTAATTTTTGTGAATATTATTTTCACAGTCTGTAAAATGAAGGGATTGGCATTAGCATGGCCCCTAATGTCCCTTGAATGATTCTACAACATGAGCATGCAAAGGTCAAGAAGATAGCCTGTCTTTTTCCTCCAGAGGTTGCAAGAAAAAGAATTCTGTCCCATGCATACATACATACTGACCCAGAAATAATGTTTTCTGGGGGGATTTTGTTTTTTTTTTGCAGAAACAAAATTTGATTTGTGCAATAAATCTGTACTTAGAATAGAATAGCATTTGTTGGTTACATACATCAAAATGGAGCAATGTTCAATTATGTTCAGTTCTATTCCATGATGGACTAGAACAATTATATACATATTAATTATAATGTGTTGGGGTCACTACTTTCAGGTGTCTGTCTTGCAGACCTTGACTCAGCAACTAGTGAATAAAGCACACTGACACACAGATATTATGCTTTGCTAGTACAGCCAAGTGTCCGTGGATGCTTACAGATGCCTTGGGGAGCGTTGTAAACAGTTGAAACCTATGGCCCTCAGCAGCCAGTGAGACTCACATTTATTGAGTAAAGTTTAATTGACAAAGGCTTGAGTCAACACCACTAGAGGTTAAGGATCAAAGGACAGGTTCTGATGCCTAAAGCAAACACCGTTAGTGGGTAATATCCTTGGTTGATCTCCCCTGAGACAGCAACCTGGCTCAAAAGTTAGTTTTAAAACCATATGAGTAAACAAGTTAGTTAGATTAACTCCTCACATTTTTTTGTATTTGTGCCTTAATCTCTCTGGTGCTTGCAAAGAGACTCTGGCTGCTTTCAGCAGAGAACTATAGAAAAACCTTTAAGCCTTCTAAGAGTTTCAGACTATATTCTGTAACTTTCTCTACTATTTTTCGTTTAATATTTTTGCTACCACCTTAAGTGAATCCTCACAATAATGTAGGTATGTACATGAACACATATGAATAACTAATTTAAATTCTGCAGAGAAAAATGCCAAAACCAAAGAGACAGGTCTATTGTCTATCAACAGATGCATAGCTTAAGTAATTATAAAACCACTCTCCATCCTTTTTGTGGTTGCTGTTTTTTTAGAAACATGGTCTCACTCTCTGGCCCAGGCTGGAGTGCAGTGGTACAATCATAGCTCACTGTAGCTTGAACTCCTGGGCTCAAGCAGGGAGCCTTAGCCTCCTGAGTAGCTGGGACTGCAGGTGCATCTCATCTTTACCAGCTCATTTTTTTACTTTTTAGGAGACAGGGTCTCATTGTTGTCCAGGCTGGTCTCAAATTCTGGGCCTCAAGAGATCCTTCCACCTGTGCCTCTTGAGTCATTGGGATTACAGGTGTGAGCCACCACACACAGCAACCCTCCATTCTTAACCAACTTTTGTTTACTTCACAACAAATAACAGGAAAAACAAACTGTCCACCTTGAAAATGACATAAATCATATTTATAACTTCTATATGTACACTTATGT